AAATGAATCCTTTGGAGCCCCAGGCAAAACAAGTTAGTACCCAGGTCAGTTAGTTGTTAAAAGATAAATATGTAAACTCAGCATGGTGATACACACCAGTAATCCCAGCATTCTGGGAGGCTGAGGCGGGAGGAGCCCAAGTTCAAGTCCAGACTGAGCAATTAAGTGTCTTGGCAAGACCCTGTCTCAGAATAAAAGAGGGCAAAGGATATAGTTCAGTGTGAAGGCCTTGAGTTCAATTCCTAGTACTGAAAAAAAATTTTATAGAGTGAAATGTATAGATCTTACTATAATTTGGTCAATTTTAGCAGATGTATGCAGAGGTAATTCACACCCCAGTCAAGATTTAGGGAATTTCTGTCATCTGAGATTGCTTAACCTGATTCCTCCCACTTGAGATTGGACTTTTATGTCACTAACTACATGAGGAAATGAGTGGTGTTCACATTCAGGGTCAGTCCACGGCTCATAGTTCACTTGGCACCTCCAGCTGCTTTGTGATGCTCTTTATGGAATCACACAGGGCAGTCACTTTTCTGATTTCTGTCACCGTGCATTACTTTAGCCTGTTTTCCATCTTCATATAAATGGACTAATAGTGCATACTTGTTTTATGCAAGTATTCTTTCAAACATCAGGAAAATGTTTTAGGGATTCATTCACGTTGTAGATAGCAGTAGTTTATGCCTTGTTATCAGTATTGATAAAGCCTCTATGAATAGTAAGAAACTGTCGATTTTCCAAAGTAGTTGCAGCATTTTATCCTGCCGGTAGTGTGTGAGGGTTTCCCCTGCTCTGAAACTTGTAATTAGTGTTTCCAAGTTTTCTTTTTTCTGTTTTTTTGGTACTGGGAGTCAAATTCAGGACCTTGTGCTTGCCAGGCAGGCAGGGCACCGCTGAGCTACGGGGCACCACTGAGCTACACCCCTGGCCCTGTTGCCAGGCCATTTTAAGTGGGTGTGAAAAAGTGCCTCACATAGTTTTAGTTTGTTTTTTCTGTCGACTAAATGTTGAGCGCCTTTTTGTGGCTATTCATATATATATATATATATATAAGTGGGTGTGAAAAAGTGCCTCACATAGTTTTAGTTTGTTTTTTCTGTCGACTAAATGTTGAGCGCCTTTTTGTGGCTATTCATATATCTTTTTGAGGTATCTGTTCAGTATTTTATCCATATTTTGGGGGCTGTTTGTCTCTTGTTACTGAGTTGTAGAAGTTCTTTATGTTTCAACTATGTCTTCTGTCAGTGCCTTAGATTGGGTTCCCTACAAAACCCACTCTGAGGAGAACTCAAGTGGGGCGTGCTCTTGGGAACAATCCCTGTAAGACAAAGGTCATATATCTTTTTGAGGTATCTGTTCAGTATTTTATCCATATTTTGGGGGCTGTTTGTCTCTTGTTACTGAGTTGTAGAAGTTCTTTATGTTTCAACTATGTCTTCTGTCAGTGCCTTAGATTGGGTTCCCTACAAAACCCACTCTGAGGAGAACTCAAGTGGGGCGTGCTCTTGGGAACAATCCCTGTAAGACAAAGGGCAGGAGTGAAGCAGGTGGGGAAGGCAGGGTGTAATTCAATTAGAGTAGAGACCCCAGCTCACCTCAAAGGAGACACTGAGGCCAGATGGCTCTTCTCTGATATCCTGAATTTTGAGGCAAGGAGGTCTGGCTTCACACCTCCCTCCACACTGCCGTAAAGGGGTTAGTTACCCTTGCTGACTGCCCTGAGGGAAGATGTATAATCTCAAGTTAGTCATTTGCCTTGGGCTGATCAGCGTCAGCTCCTCAGAGGGACTCAGCTATGAGCCGTCAGTAGACAACACCCCCAGTGGCTTGGGGATCTGGTGTCTCCGACCTGAAGGGGACTGAAGTGGGCGGTACCATCACAGAATTCACCACAGATACGTGTATGCCCATGATAGATGTGTGTGTGTATGTAAGCATACTTCTGTATGTGTATATAGAGATATGTGTGTATATACATGTGGGTATGTATAGGTATATATATATATATAGGTAGGGATATATAGGTATACATGCATATACACAAATATATGTGTAGGTCTATGTAGATTTTTTTCCTTTCACTGTATAGCTTCTCTATTCATTTTCTTAATGGGCAAGAAAACATATTTAATGTTGAATTTTTTTCTTTTATGGTTTGCATGTTTTTGTGTCCTTGCTGCAAAATTTGGGCCAAAATTGCAGATATTCTCCTAGGTTTTTTTTTTTTCTAAAAACTTTTGAGTTTTTGGTCTTACATTTCATTAAGAATTAACTTTTGTGCATGGTGTGAGCTACCACCTAAATAATTCTTGAAAGCAATCAGCTCTTACTGTTCTTGGTGTCTCCCTCATCACTTCTCTGCTTAATTTGCCAAGCAGAGTCTCATGTCTGTTTCCCAGGGTAGTGCAGAGTCAAAATGCTGACAAGATAGTTTTCTCTTGTAGTCTGTTCTTTAGTTTAAATTGTGGCATTAAGAAACCAATTCCCGCTGGGGATTTAGCTTGGTGGTTCTGCCTGCTTCATAAGTGCAAGGTCCGGAGTTCAATCCTGGCACCAAAAAACAAAACAAAAAAACCAATTCCCCCAAAGGAGGTAGCATAGTTGGTTAAGTTTAGTTTGACCCTGACTTTTGTACTTTTTTGGGAATAATACTTCACATTTATGAATTTTTAAAAAAGATAACTTCTATGAATTGGTTAGGGAGACTGAAGAAAAGAGTAATTACCATGTCACCTTCTACACAGAACTTTGCATCTTCTTTGTGTTCTTGTTCTAACAGTTTGTCTTAAATGAACACTGATTAGCAATGTTTTGGGGTCATTTAGTAACTTAGGCAAAGAACTGTAGAGTAACTCAGTGAACGGTGATTAAACAGTGATGGAGCAGCACTTGCTGTCTGCTTCCAAGATGCTTCAGTCGCTTTCTTATGTTGCCTCCCATCTTCACAAGATGTGCAGAAGTGCTGTGGTTTTACAAAAGAAAGTTTGAGATACTGAATTGTTAATTGATCAGGTCATGGGTTCAGTTGTGTCTCCTCAGCCAGTGTGCAGCCACCGGCCACATCTGGAACACTGTGTCACAGTGGCTGATGGTGTGTGTCAGGAGGCCTGCCCTTGGCCTGGTGTTGACACGGTTGCTATAGTTTCCCATTTTTCTTTTTGAGACAGGGTCTCACTGTGTAGTTCAGATTGCTCTGAAACTCACTAGGTAGCCCAGGCTGGTCTCGAACTCGCAGCAGTCCTCCTGCCTCAGCCTCCTGAGTGCCTGGATTATAGGTGTGCACCCCCACGCCTGGCCAGTTTCCCATTTTTCATCAGACACAGTGAGATGTAGGTTTCTACCACTGCCATCACCCTGCCCTTAAACAAGGAGGGCATAAGGTTTCAACCATTTCCCATACAGACAGCATTTAGGAAGGCTGGTTGGGTCCCTACTATCACAATGGGGAGTTCAGTAGAATATCCAAAATAATGCAGTTCCTGTTACTTTGCTAATATCAAGGAAACAGAAATGGAAAGATGAACTACATTATATGCCATGTTTTCGTAAGTAAACACATAATTACCCCCTTGCACTTTTGCTTTGTGATGTGGGGATCAAACCAGGGCCTTATGCATGCTGAAAATGCCTTCCCACTGAGCTATACACCGTCTTCTCCACTTTGTACTTCCTAAGATCATTTTTCATACTTTTAAGATCCCAGAAAGCCACGTTAGAGTACAGTATTGCTTCCAGGAACTTTGAACCCTAAGCTTGTATTTTGTTTGACAAGAGGCAGTCTGTCAAAGAAACCAAGATAAAAAGAACACAATTGAGATTAGGTTGGATTAAAACCATAGAACAATTTTAGTATTGACTTTTAAACCCTTTTTTTTTTTCCTTTTTTTGGTACTGGGGATTGAACTTGGGTCCTTGCGCTTGCAAGGCAGGCCACTGAACCGCTGAGCTAAATCCCTGGCCCATTAAACTCATTTCTAATCCTATGAATAATACATATTCATTGTAGATAAATTACTTCATAAATTATATATATTACATGCTATATGTTTATAAAAGTAAAACATGTATATTTAATGTATACTATACTTTTTCCATTTTATGTATACTTTTTTGTAAATAGGATATTATTAATACATATTGTTTGCCATAAGCTTTTCCCTTATATCAGTACGTCATGGCTTTCTGTATCCATAAATAGATGCTATAATGTACCGTAATTTTTCATGACTGTGCTATGATACGATGATGAAATGTTATAGTTTATTTAGCTAAACTCCTTTTTTGAACATTTAGGTTATCTTAAGTTTGCACTCTTAATAAATGTCATGGTCATTTTTGCTAAATTCTTAAGATAAATTTCTAGAATTAAAATTTCTTAATCACAGAATTACATTTTTTTTAAACATGGGGGCAGGAGTAGTTGTAGTAGAAGGTAGAGGGGGAGAGAGGGGAAGGAGGAGAGCATATAAGCAAGAATTCACATTTTTGAGGCTTTAAATCTAAATAATTAAACAGTGCCCCAGGTAAGTCAGTAATGGTGAACCTTTTAGAGCTTTCAGCCAGCTGTGGCACAAGTTAATAAGTTCATCACCAGTGAGATAGGTTATAGCAATTCACATTCCTTCTAGTGTTAGACAAGTGTATTCTTCTTTCCCTTTCATGGGTTGTAGACATTTTCCTCCATCGTTGTCATCTCACTTTTTTTTTTAAAGTTATGATCTTTCTATGTTGCCTAAGCTGTCCTTGAACTCCTGAGCTCAAGGAGTCCTCCTGCCTCAGCCTCATGAGTAGCTGGCAGTATAGGCATGCTCCCCCGTGCCCAGCTACTCAGCTTTTTTATTTGGTATTAACTACTGACAATGCTGACCATTTTCATGTTTATTAGCTGTTGTAGCTATTGATTATAAATACAGAACTCATTGTATAATAGATACTTCAGAAATTGTTTCCTGTTCATTAATCAGCCTTTTCAGTGGTTTCTTCTGTTTTCTTTCCAGGAGCGACTGAAGCTGGTGACTGTTTTGGGTGCTGGCCTGCTCTGTGGAACTGCCCTGGCGGTCATCGTGCCTGAAGGAGTACATGCACTTTATGAAGATATTCTGGAGGGTGAGAGAGAGAAGAGCCTTATTTGAGATATGCTACTGGAGGGTTGTCAGGCAAAGGTAGCTTAGTGGTATTTTAGATCTTCTTATACTTTGGACATTGAACACATCCTTAGCAGTTCAATTCATGAATACTGTTTATTTATAATAACAAATAAATTCTTCTAGTCATTTTAATTATAACAGTTCTTTTATAATGCCCACTCAGAAACCCCCCAATTCTACATGATAGGGCTTTTAGCTTTAGTGTTCTTTAATTAAGAATATATGTAGATAAACTTTGTAGATAATTAGTGAGGACCCAGTTAGTAAGAACAATTACAAAATTAAAGAGGCCTTTCCTTACCCCAACACTGAGTGGAGAGAACAGTACCTGGGAGAGGGTAAGTGCTCAGTGGGCATCTTGGTTCACTCACCACTTCCGTGATTTGGTCTTTCATGGTAGGTTGAGAGTCTGCTTGTTTCACATTTGTGATTTAGCAAAACTGGTTACTGAATGTCATGAAATTTTACAGTTACCTGTGAAAGATTGAAACCACAACTGTTAAATCAGGAAACTGAACCCTCAAATGCCAGTATCTGCTAGGCTTTAAAAATAGCGTGAAGCGGGCTGGGGATTTAGCTCAGTGTTGCCACCACCTGCTTGCAAGCCCAAGGACCCAAGTTTGATCCCCATTACAAAAAAAAAAGTGTGAAGGGGTAGGCACCTTCTAGACTTCTTGCTAAGGACAGTATAATAAACACTTTCTCAGATCTTAGTAAAGAAAAAGAACTACATCCTTTATCTACAGTGATGGTACTCTTATTCCTGGAGTATAAATATGAGCATAGTGGTATTTTGTGGGCGAAGCAGTGGCAGATGTTATATATGAAGACTGTGGGCATCTTACTGAGTGCTAAGATTACAGGCATGCACTGCCATGTCTGGCTGGTATGGGAGTCATACTGAAAAACAGTACAGGGACCAAGAATTGGTTAGCTATAGAGGAAGCAATCCGAAGTCAGGATGCCTGAAGCATTGTTTTCTCCTTTTTTTGGTTATATATCCTACCGTGGGGAAAAATAATTTACATCACTATTGTACTGATTCACTGTGCATGTTATAAAACATTCCTAAAACAGAAAAATTTTGAAGTCTGAAATTTAAAAATATACAGATCAGTATTTTCATATTCTGTGGATCCACTTGAATTTTTCTGGGATATGATTATTCTACTGTAGAAATTACTATACTTGTGTTCTAGAAAACATTTAGAACATACTTGAATAGATGATTCAAAATGTTTCTACTTGACTTTGGAACTAAGAAAGAATTAAGGGTGTTGGTTATTTTCTATACTTGTCTGATAATGAAAATTCCCTGGGGGAGGGATGGCTTTACAAATACAGTTTCTTGGCCTCCAACCTGGACTACTGAATCAGAGTCTCCAAGGAAGTAACCTGGGAATATGTATTTTAACAAGTTATCTGTGATTCTTACCGGTCAAGTTCAGGAAACTCTCTAATAGAGGAATGAACTACTTCAGGTATAGTTTGGTGTGTGTGTGTGTGTGTGTGTGTGTGTTTTAATAATAATGTGAAATATAATTCAGACACCGTATTCCAGGTATAGTGTTAAGGTTTAATTTAGCTACTATGTGTCAGGTTGCATTCCTTTATTTTTTGTTTTCCTGTTTTGGCCTAAAATAATTTTGTGGATTCATTTGCAAACAGATTACAAAATGCTTAATGAATCTGCTTTTCTAAAAATAAGCATATTAGGGCTGAGGATACAGCTTAGTGGCACCACAGCTTACTGGCAAGCACAAGGTCCTGAGTTCGATTCCTGGTATCAAAAAAGTATATATTAGTCTTTCACCTTTCATCATAGATTAGCTTGTAGCTCTGAGTCATCATTTAATGCATGTTTGTTTGTTCATACTGGAGATTTGAACCCATCATGCTTTACCACTGGGAAAGATCCTAGCCTTTTTTTTTTTAATTTTGAGATAGGATCTCATTGACTTGTCCAGCCTGGTCTTACTTGAGATCCTCCTGCCTCAACCTCCCAGGTAGCTGAGATTACAGACATGAGCTACCATGCCTAGCCTATCATTTAAATTTTTAAAAATTATTTTCACAGGGATTTATCTCAGATGCACTGTGCCTACCTTGCAAGCACAAGGTCCTGAGTTGATCCCTGGTACCAAATATATATATATATATTACTTTCACTTATATGTTTTACTTTTACTCTTTTGATATAGGTATACATGAGTTTTAACAAATGCATAGAGTCATATTTTACCACTGTGATCAAAACAGAAAATAATTCGGTCACTAAAGCACCCCTCATACAGAGTATTCCCTCATGCTATTCTTTTGTAGTTATGACAAAACGATTTTTCCTTCACTTCCAACTCTTGGCAGCCAAACCTCTTCTCTATTGTCATAGTTTTGCCTTTTCGGAATGCCATATAAATGAAATCATGTAACCTTTGGGTATGGCTTTTATCACAGCATAATATATTTGAGAATCATCACATTCTCTATCAGTAGTTTGTGCCTTTTTATTTCTGAGTAGTGTTTTGTTGTCTGATGAACTGTATTTGTCTTTTCCTTCAGCAGTTGGAAGACATAGGGGTTATTTCCAGTTTTGGTGATTATGAGTTGAGTTACTATTAACATTTAGGTACAGGTTTTTGTATGAATGAGTTTTACTTCTCTTCCATAAATACTTAGAGTTGGATTGCTAGGTCATATGGAAAGTATATGTTTAATTTTATAAGAAGTAGACAAACACTTTTCCAGGGGCAGTACCATTTTGCATTTAGAGTTTTTGTTTGTTTGTTTTGGTTTTTTATTTTTAGCATAATAGGTGAGTCATGGTATCTCAATTTGATTTTGCCTATTTTAAAAATTGGGTTTTCTCATTGACCTTTGGTAGTTCTTTATCAGATAGGTGTTCTATAAATATTTTCTCCTCATCTGTTCATTGTCTTAGCAGTATCTTTCATGCATCAGTTTTTATTTTTTTAAAAAAATCTTACTGAGTTTATTGGTGCTTTTTAGGTGTACAGTACAGTTACATTCATCATTGGGATCTTGTACCTTTAAGTGACAGATCTTAGTTCTCATTTTTTTCCCCATATGGCTGCCCTCCCTTAATCCCCTCCACCCTCCCCTATTTACAAAGATTTTGTTTCTGTTTTTCCTCTCAGCAGTTTTTAATTCTGATGAAGTTAAATTTGTCATTTTTCTCATGGGTGAATTATGCTTTTGATATTTTATCTAAACTCTGCACCCAAATTCACAAAGATCTTTTCTTCTACAATTTTTATAATTTTTAGGTTTTATATTTAGCTCTATAGCCCACTGTGATGTAATTTTGAACACAGTATGAAGGTTTTTTTGTGCATAGGGATGGATGTTCAGTAGTTCCAAAACAATTTGTGGAAAAAGCACCTTTTTCTATTGAATTGCTTCACACCCTTTTGAAAAATCCACGGAACATGCTGGGTATGGTGTTGCAGGCTTATACTCCCAACACTTGGGAGGCTGAGGCAGGAGGATTGCTTTGAGTTTTAGGCCAGCCTGGGCTACATAGTTGAGTTCAAGGCCAGCCTGAACTATAAAGTGAGACCCTGTCTTAAAAAAAATCCATCAAATGAAGGGTGAAGTGGGTGAAGGGAAGGCAGGGGTATGAGGAAAAACAAGAACCAAAATATATCATGTAAAGGTACAAGATCCCCTGTGCTTGCTTCGGCAGCACATATACTAAAAAAGGTACAAGACCCCAATGATAACTGTAACTGTATTGTTTGCTTTAAATGTACCAATAAACTTAATGGAAAAAATATCTATCAAACATATTCACGTTGATCTACTTCTGGATTTTCTATTCTGTTTTGTTGATCTGTATTTCTGTTCTTTACCAACGTTACATTACCTTGATGACTGCTGTCATTAGCAAATTTTGAAATTGTGTAGTAGTGAGTCTTTTTAACTTGTTCTTTCTATTCAAATTTTGATTTGTCTTTTCATAAAAATCTTTTGCCTTTCCATAAAGATGTTAGAGTCAGTTTGTCAAAGTCTACCAAAAAAATAAAATAAAATTCATGCTGGAATTCTGATTGAGTTGAATCTATTAAGAGAGAAGTGGTATCTTAAAGATATGGTATTTTCTAATCTATGAATCTGTCTCTCATTTAGGTCTTTGATTTCTTCCATTGGTGTTACAGTTTTAGCATAGAGATCTGCACATGTCTTATTAGATTTATACCTAAGTATTTTATGTTTGTATTGAAATTATAAATGACACTTAAAGTTTTAAAAATTTCTAGAACTATAGTTAGTCTGTAGAAATTTGCTAAATTCACTTCCTAGTTATGGATGCTGTTTTGTAGATTCCTTGGGAATCTACATAATCTTTGCATTGAGACAGCTTGATATTTTCTTTCCAATCTGTCTTAGTATTTTTTCTTGCCTTGCACTGAGTGGAATATCCAGTATGAGGTTTAATAGAAGTAAAAGCTGGTACTCCTTGTTCTCATTCAGTCTTTGACCATTACGTATGATGTTAGCTGTGGGTTTTTTACAGATTCCCTTTTTTCAGATTAAGGAAGTTCCATTCTATTTCTAGTTTACTGAGAGAATTTTCATGAGTGGATATTTTTATCAGATGCTTATTTCAGTTTGTTAGACTTGCATATAGCCCCTCCCCTTAGTTGGTATTGATATATAGTATCCCTTTGTGTGCTATGGGACCCAACTTGCTAGTTATTTTTGAAGGATTTTTATGTCTTCATTCATCAGTAATATTGGTCTGTGGTTTTCCTTTCTAACTGTGTATTTGTAGTTTTGTTGTTGTTGAGGTTATTTTTAATCAGGGTAATGATAAGTGTAGCTGGGAAGTGTTCACATCTCGCTTATATTCTGGAAGAGACTTATAGAAACTGATGATATTTTTTCTTAATATCTGGTAGAATTTACCATCTAGATTGGGAGTTTTCTGTATTGGAAGGT